CAGCCTCTCTGCAGCAGGGGAAGTTGCTGAGAATTCAGGTGTCTCCAGACAGCTGATTGCTGCCCGTGCAGGTGTTGCCACTGGCAGCGCATAGAGTGCAGCGCCAGGGCAGATGCTGTGGCTGTAGGTTGGGCTGTGGCTGCAGAAAGCAGAGGATTTGGTGGGGTTACCAACATACAGGGACTAGGGCAACTACAAACCCTGTTTTCACTTGGTTGATGTTAGGTCAGGTGTGTGCAAGCACTAGTCTTTATTTCACGACCGGTTGAAAACTTAGTACTCTTTTTCTCTAAGGATTTCCCGAAATAAATAAAGGTTACTTAGAAGCTGTCATTAAAATAAGCATCCACATGTAAATACGTAAAAAATACACTAGATGGAGGTATTTTCTTATTCAAATATAGTTTCCAATTATTGCAAATAAATTTTAGGCATGTGTTTAAGTTCATGTTCAATAATGCAATATTAGATACTAAACTTTAGATATTTGCTTAAATGTTGTCTGAGTAAGAATGAATTAAGAGTGAATATGCAGCAATTATTAGTGCTGCTACTTTCCTGCCACTGGTGGTTAGACTGCGTTGTTTCAGATCTTATAATTAATTTTCTTCCTCTTTGTCAATGTGCTAGGACAATATATTGTCATTCTGTTGTTCTAGTCTATATTTAATTGAAGTAAAACTATGCCTTATGAAAGTAAAACACCAAGCAAAACATGTATGTCTATTAAATATTTATGTTACATTGGACACTCTCCTTTCTTTGCTTTTAAGAATATTTTATTCAAACCCAGAAAAGAAGTTAAAAAATGTTGTCTTTAGCTGATATTTCCATGGATTATATTTTTAGCTAGAACTAAAGTAACCCCTTCAAGTAAGGTTCTGAGCAGATATTGCAGAGTACAATTCAGAAGAGATTTTTGTGCCATTTAATTGTTTTACAGAATATTTGCACAGTTAAAAGATTAAGATCAGACACCATGTAATGTCTGAATAGACTCAAGTAATTGCTGTTTTAAAGATACTACTTTACTAAGTTACTTATTTAATTAGTAATTGCTGATTTTTAACCTGGTAACAAGCATATGTAATAGTACTGTTTACTGTTTAACATCAGCAGAAACATCTTCTATGTTGGGTTTTTTTCTTAAGTGATCAGAAGTGTGAAAAGGCGAAGCATGACAATTCAGAGAGGAATGTTTTTCTTTATTTTTGTGTTCTTGTGGGTTTTTTCCACAGCTGAGGTTATATGTCATTAGATGCATTGTTTTCCTGTTTCCACAGGTACCCCTGAGAGTGACACTGTATGTGAGAGATGTCCAGAAGGATTTTTCTCAAATGAAACATCATCTAAAGCCGTCTGTCTTAAGCACACAAACTGTAGTGCTCTGGGTTTCAAAATGGCTTTGAAGGGAAATGAAGTTCGTGACAACATCTGTCAGGAAAATACAGATACGACACCTCAGAGATGTGGAATAGGTGTGTATTGTACTCAGGAAGAGTGATCTCAAAACATACCTTTAATATAATTAAAATGGATTTGTCAGAATTTATTATAAAAATACCTAGCTTGTTAGCTGTTTGCCTGCTGTGGTGATGGCTATAGTAGTTAATTGTAGCTCAGACCAAATGGAACTCAAGCACAGTGAGCCACAGCATCATAAAGACCACTTAGTCTGGTTTTTAAGTGCCTTTTTCTTATCATTCTTGCTGCTTGCTTTTTTTTTTTTTTTTTTGTCTGAGACAGGTAGAGTAACAGATCAGAACAACTGACATATTCTTCTCTGTTTCATTTCAGATGTAACCTTGTGTGAGGAGGCGATGTTCAGGTTTGCTGTTCCTACTCATCTCACACCTAACTGGCTGAACATGCTAGCAGACAGTTTGCCTGGGACAAAGGTTAGCACAGAAAATATTGAAAAGATTAAACAAAGGCACAGTCCTCAAGAGCAGACCTTCCAGCTTTTGAAATTATGGAAGCAACAAAACAAAGAACAGGATATGGTCAAGAAGATTATTCAAGGTATCTTATTGTGATAGTGTGTGTAATAAAAGCAGCCTTCTAAATGGCATTTAAAAAATTGCTTGGGATCAAATACCTCCTGGTGATGTGTTATGCTCAGAGAAGGGCCTGCAGGGCTCCACTGAGGTTTATCAATGCAGTAAGCATAGTGAAGTCAAGCGGAAGCAGGAAGAGAATTCAGCTTCTCCTGATTAGCTGAGGACTGAATTCTTCCCAGACTTGTAGTCCCCTTGGGAGTGTTTGTTGTGCCATGGCCAAGATCCCCTTTTGAGACTGCACAACATACCAAGAATTTTGATCAAGAGAGGAAAATGTTTGCCTGTGTTATATCTGAGCAGTGGCCATTGAGGTTAGAGAGAACAGGATGCCTGAGAGTGCAATTTGTTGTCTATGAAGTGGAGATTGATATTTTGGACTAGGACATCTCTTCATGGGATGGGACACATGGGAGTGAGGAATACACAAACAGGCTTTCCCGTCTTTTTCCCTTCAGGTCACTATTTGTCATGCCAAGACAGGTTTCAAAGGTGAAATAGTGCTGAAATGTTAATGCCAAGGTTTTTACATCAGTCAGGCCAACTCTTCTGATGTAAGCCACCATCAACAGCTGCCACATACCAATGACCTTTTGTCCACATGGAATAGACTTGAAAAGTGCTGCAGAAATTTTTTTTACCCCTCTCTTATTTAGGATGTATGCTTATGTCACACTGTGAAGTGTCTAGAGTAAAGACCACAATGACTACTTTATCAAAGCCTAGATATTTCTGAAGAGAAAGAGCAAAGTTTTCATTCACTGGAACCAAATATTAGGAGTCCTATCACATACACACAACATTTTACAGGATAGATGACACAAGCATATAACAATAAATACTTGCTATGAAGTTTGTTTGTAATTTGGGGTTGTTTGTATTTGCAAAGTTCATGAAATTCTGAAGCATGTTTTTATAACTGGAGCCTAAAAAAGCAAACATGAGCGAGTTACTTGAAATAAATAAAAAAAAAAATTGGAAAGGGATATTCTCCTTGGGATTTTGGAAGGGTTTTTGCAGGCCACGGTGCTGTATGTACTGACCTCTTTTCTTTTTGCTTTCTATAGGTATTGATCTTTGTGAAAATAGTGTCTTAAAGCATATTGGCCACCCAAACCTGACCTTTGAACATCTCAATATGCTGATGGCAAGCTTGCCAGGCAAGAAAGTGGGAAAAGAAGATGTTGAGCGCACAATGAAACTATGTCAACCCACAGAGCAAGTTCTGAAGCTTCTCAGTCTGTGGAGAATAAAGAATGGTGACCAAGACACCACTAAAAGTTTAATGTATGGACTGAAGCACTTGAAAACATACCACTTTCCAAAACGAACCATCCAAAGTCTGAAGAAGGTGGTTAAGTTTCTTCACAGATTTACAATGTATAGATTATACCAGAAACTCCTTTTAGAAATGGTAGGGAACCAACTTAAATCTGTGAAAGTAAGATGTGTAGATGTGTAGAGTTAGAACTCCAGATATTTGTCATTCTCCACTGACTATTTTTCCCTAATTACTGCCAGCAGTAATTAAACTGGAACATTGTTTCCCCACATTATGTTTTACTATTTATAGAAATGCCTGACTGGAATAGTTCTAAGTCTTCTGCAGTGGTTTTGGAGGTTTTGTTTCTTTAATAAAAATAATTTTGTAAAAGCTATTAACCTGTTGATAACACTAAGAGCCTGATTCTGCATTTTTGCACATTCAGAGTTGAAAAGTCCCACTATAGTCACTAGATGAGAAAGGAATGCTGGACCAGGCTCTACTCTAGTATTTGCTATTTATATTCTTTGAGGAATAATCGTTTTTGTTGTACATATTTATTACATTAAATGAAAATTGTATGAGACTGAAGAGAAATGAAAAGCACACTGTATATTTTCTAGTTAAAACAAAAGTGATTCCATATATTTTTCTGAAAAAATTTTGTAGCATGCTCTAAGAGATATTAATTTCTTTACATTTTGTATTTAAAAAAGTATTATTGCTTAGTTTTATTTGTATAAGTCGTGGTATCTTTTGGTAAGGGTGTTTTAATTTATCCAATGATTTTAACTAAAATACAGTGAAAATATAGCGCAAGTGACCTGAATATTTAAATATTCTGTGAGAAAGTGAATGTACCATATTTAAGAAGCTGAATTTTTATATAGAATTTCATAACCTTATTTTATAAAACAATTAAATTTTTCAGTTTACTTTCTGACTGGTGTTTTACTCTTGACTCTCTAGTAGGAACCATTAACAAAGACAGACTATGTGGATTTTGCACCTTATCTTGGGCTTGGCTCTCTGCTACTCCCTGTCTGGTCTAATAGTTAATATGTGAACCAAGTAAATATTGACCAGCACTGGATTTTCATGGTCACTGCAAAGGTGTAAAAGAAGGTAAAAAGTATTAAAGGTTCCAATTCAAGAGGCCCCGGAGGTTGTGATATGACTGATTACAACTCCATAGACACATTTGGCCCAGCATCACTCTTGGCCTGATGTCATTCTTGGAGAGCTCACAACCTTTGCCCTAACCACAGCTTGTAATTTCATGAAGGAAAGATGATGCATGGCCCTGATGTGCTTGGAAAGCCTCACATATTGCCACTATGTTTAAAGGAAAGGGACACAGAGAGGTCACATTAAAAAAATAGTCATTTACCACTTCCCTCAGCTACAGAATGAGGCACCTGCAAAGACATGGACTCCATAAAAATGGAACAGAGAGTGTTTAAGTCCTGTTATCAAAACATCATGTAATTTTAAGGACCAGTGGTCATTCACAGGGCAAGCTGAAGGCTTCAGTGACTGCAAAGAAGAGACTGTACTTCTGGTTTTTTTCTTTAAATCATGTGAACAGAGCTTGAATATTCAACATACGCTTTTCCCTCGTGTAAAGGAGGTAAAAGCCATCAGCATTTAGCCTTGCATGACACATTCTTCTGTTACAGATGAGAGGATCTTAAGCAAAGAGTAAGAAAGAGATTTCTGGTCGATATGATAGGTGCTCATCAGAAGTGCTCTCCTTACAAAGTACAAATGGGACACAGTGCTTTAAAATACTTGAGTTTTTTACTGAATTCTCATATTTGTATCAAAAGGAATAAACTCCCTTTTAAATTTCACATGCTGTCAGCATCTCATTGATAGGTGTGGATGAGAAATGGTGCCGAACACACACCAAAAAAATCCTAGTTTTGTGTTGATTCATTTGAAATTACTTACATACTTTTACAACAGAAACTGGTTTTATGTAGAATTAAAATATTATAACAACAGTCTCAGATTTGCAAAGTAGATACCAGATGCTTCCATGACTCTGCCAGGTGTGGAGGATTGAGGTGTTACAGGTATTAAAATGAGAACAATCATCTATTGGCAGAAAATGAAGAGGATCCCAGACACCTCTAAACATTTTCATCTTAATCCTTTCTACATTATCTATGTTTAATACAACAATTTAGCAATTGATAGTATAGTAATAGTATCAAGTAGTAATACAGTTAAAAATGTATTCCAGAGCTATTGGCTAGAGAATGGAACAGTTGCTTCTTAGTACATGATACTGCTTTTAATTTATAAATTTATACTTCTCCATTGCAAGCAATTATATGTAACTCTCATTGCAAATAATATATTATTTTTGGTCCCTCAGGAATGGCAATACTGAAAAAGGTGCTTGGAACTAGACTATAGTTGATGCTATGGCTACCATGTGAACATGCTACACTTCAGTAGAGTATGGCCTGGACTGGATTTCCTGGGGAAACTTTAGCATTAAACTATTACTGGTGCCTTTTAAAATAGGATTTTTTCCTCTAAACATAAAGTTACGCCTGTTTAATGAATTATACCTGTTAAAGCTGATTCAGCTAATCAGGTGCCCACACTCAGGTAGACACTTCTCTGCCAGTTTATGCCTCATTTGTCAATTCAGCTTTACGCAGCTGGAATGACTTGAGCACTTCACATCCTGAGCAGGCGACACAAACTCTATTCCCTTCCCCAAAGAGCCTCCAGCCCAAAATAGCCAAGACAAACAAAAGCAAGACCCAGGATAATGAGGGAGAGGGAGAGGCAAACAGAAGGTGGGATGGCTGCTTGGAAAAATGTGGGTTTGGGGGTGGTAGCTTGTTTTTCAGGGAAGCCTGAAGAATGAAGGACGAGTTGTGTGGTGAGCAGCAGGTAGGGCAGGGGTCTCTGTGTCTGTGGCATGGAGGAAATGCTGCTGGGGAGACAGAGGTGAGGGCAAGGAGAGAGGTGTGAAGGCAGGGAACAATCGGCCAGAGCTGGGATGACTGGAAGAGGGATGCTGTGCTCAGGGTGCCCTGACCTGCCATGGTACCAGTGCCTGCCTCCTCCCAGCCTGGCTGCTGACCAGACTCAGGGGAAGACAAATCTCTTGCCAGCCTCTGGCTAGAGGTGAGGCTGCCCTTACCTTGGGGTGGAAAGGAAGAGAGGAACAGGGAAGTCAGAAGAGTGTGGTGCCTCTGCTGCCCCAGCCAGGGGCAGGGTTTGTCATGCCCTGTCAAATTCTCCTTCACTAAGAGAAAGGAAAAGCAGTTTCAGGAATGTTTGAGGGAGACAGTGAGATAGGCTTTAAGGCAGGTTCTTCAGCTGTCACTTGTTCAGCTGTGCTCTCAAAGAGTGGAAACAACCCTCAGCTATCAAAAAATACCATGGGTTAAAAGCAAAACCTTGTGATTTCAAAATCTTCTACAACCCATGCTTTTTAGACCTTTTCTTATAAGCATTTGTCCTCCATCAGGTCCCAGAAAATACACCATGTTTTAGAGTATGGGGGAAATTAAAGAACAAGGTAGATACTAAGCTCTGTAATAATCTTTTTTTTTTTCCCTGTTGTGCACACCACCAAGTGCAATAGACTCCTGGAACCTGACTGTGACCCATGGATACTCACATAGTAGAATCAGTAGTATAGTCTGCTATAGACTGAACATTTTAAAAACAAAGCCAGGTATTAGATAGTTTTAAAAAAGTTTAGTGAGCTAAATAATGAAGTTTCAGAGCATTAGTTAGGAACGTGCACATAACTAACTGAACACAACATACACACACTTGCACACACACAAACTCCCACACACCACACACCATGAATACTACTTGTGCTGGGAGCATCAACAGGCTGTGGTGGTGATTTCAACTCAACAAAGCCCTTCATCACCCTCAGACGTGCATCCTGCCCATCCTGGTATGGGTCAACATTGCTGCCTCCAAGGCAGAAGTGTCTGGTTTGTTTGTGAATCACCTTCAAAGTGTGCAGATTTTCAGCCTTAAAATAGTAAAAACCCATGGCTCAGAAATAAGCAAAAATTTATAGAAAAAAAAGGACCACCAATTTCTGCAGGCTATCAGAAACTGTTCAATTTTGGACAAATGTCAAGTATAGGAAATACCTACCCTCCCAAACATTGGACAAAAATAATGAAAAAAAACCACACTTCTACATTTTTCTTCCTTTACCTTAATTTGGTGGGAGAACCAATACTAGCAATAAGCTCAGTAGTGAGGAGAGATAAAAAATATCTACAAAGCTAAGTCTGTGGTCATTGTGTGACTATTCCTAGCAGAGTTCAAGGACAAATCTATGGGAAAAGGCTATAAGAATGGACTCAGAATTGCAAAGAATTGAGCAATTCTATTTTTATATTAGAGTTTTGAACTGAACAAAACTTGAGACAAAGTAAAGCAGATGAACACAATGCGAACGTAGTTTATTCCACTCATCATCATCCTCATGCCTTGTATTTATGGCAAGTTTGCGTAGGATTCCTGTTTGTCTTTTTGCATTTAAAAAAAGTTCTTTCATACTACCAGGCAATTTTTTTAAAATCATCCTGACCTTTAGTACCTAGGAGGTTATTTAAAAGGAACCACATGATGAAAGATTGTGGCTTTGGCAATATTTCTTATATGAAGAGGACAGGGTGTGGTTCAATAAGGGTGAAGACAGAACTTTCCGGAGAATATTTTTCTCTTTTTTTTTTCCCCCTCCTTTATCTAAGAAGGAGAGTCTTCATCCCCTTCCAAATAAATACATAAACTTTCTGGCAAATGGGATATATATCACTCTGGATGTGCAGAATATTGTCAGCACACAAAACTAGATTTCTGTCTATTCACAGTATTGGTTTGGTATTTGTGTTGTGCTTCAGCTCTGTCTATGGCAATTTAGATGAGTGAAATGATACATCCTAAAGGATTAACCCCATGTAATGCAATGAAAACTCAGTGTCAGTAAGAGATGGATCATCTTTGCATTCTTTGAAGGGAAGAGACAGACATCAAAGATCGAGGTGCCTAAACACCAGCAGGCTTGCAGGAACCTCTGTCTCCTGGCTGCAGTTAGGGAAGACTAACATAGACCTACATTTTTGGGAAGGATGTCCACACCTGGGAGATGTGTCAATGCTTGACGTAAGTTGTGTTTTTTGGATTGCAACAAAACAAACCGAGAGTAGCTGGCAGGCTGGTGAAGCCGTTGGGAAACTGGACTATTCCCGTCTCTGGGAGCTAGAGCGAAGCTGCTTGGTTTGACGCCGCGTGGGTTGGGACCCGGCGCAGGGATACAAGGAATGGGCAGTTACTGCTGTTAAGTGTTTTTGAAAGTCTAA